AGCTCTGGATACCTAGGAAAAAGCCTTTTTGGAGAAAAGGACAGAAGGAGAAGAGAAAGGAGTTTGCCAGAGTGAGGAGGCACTGGACAAGAGCCTGGAAATGGGTGGTTTTTGTGGATGAAGCCACAATTGAATATGATCCAAATCCAGTTGGAAGGAAGGTCAGGCTTAGACCAGGTGAAGAGTTGGAAGAAAAGAACTTAAAGCCTAGCTTTAAGTCAGGATGCACAAACATAGGTGTATATGCTGCAATGATGCATGGGGGGAGGACTGAGCTCATTCTTGTAAGGAAGAGAACTGAGGAGGAAAGGACTAGCAAAAGAGACAACCTTGGTCTCAATGGTCACCAATATGCAACTGAGATTCACCAGCCATACCTCATCCCCTTCATAGAAGGTATAAACAGAGCTCCTGAAACCATCTATATGGCTGCTGATAATGCATCATGGCATAATGGGTTGGAAAACAAAAAATCGCAAGAGGACTGTGGATATCAAAGATTGGCTTGGCCTCCCAACTCACCAGATCTCAACCCTATTGAGAATGCCTGGGCAATTCTCAAAAGAGCCCGCAGAAAGCGATTCTCCAAGCTTGAGAGAAGGCCCCATAGTGCTGCTGAATGATTTCAGGCAGCAAAGGAAGAGTGGGACCTCATTCCCCAGGAGACATTTGATGGGTGGATTCAGAGGATGCCTGAGAGACTTCAGGCTGTATTGGATGCAGATGGAAGTCACACAAAATGGTAGCATTAGGAAACTGTTATTTTCTATTTCTACTTTTATCTATTTTAAAATTGTACTCATATCATTTTTTTTGTGCGGTTAATATTATTATTTGTGGTGGTAGTGCCGTTGCCGTTGGGGGTACGTAGACTTTTCAGACACGACTGTACTTAATCAAACTGTAAAAATAACCAAGTATCAACCAATACTTAAAACAAAATGTAAAACAAACTAAGTATCAACCGATACTTAAAACAAAACATAAACCAAACTAACCGAGCACCAGCTCCAGTTATAGTAATATTACAAATTGTTAATAATTAAACTAGAGAACTATTAGCTATGAATCTATAAGATATATTCAATCTCTCAACCCACTTATAAAGGCACATCCTATCTGTATTTCAGTTTTTCTATCTTGGAAAATCCTAGGAGTGTTATTTGAAAATAACTAGCTTAAATACTTTACACAACAGTAACCATCTATAATTATATAATAGAGTTCACATATTCCTGTTCTCCATGTTCCAAAGTACTTACTGAACAGCTTTCAATATTGGCTCAAAAGTATTTATTAAGATAATCAAAAATATGTTTGCTTTTGCAAGGATTGCAATGGGTGAGCAGTTTCTCCATAAATGATGTTACAGTAGATTGCATAGCCAAAGGTCTGCCAGAAAAGCCATCATCCTCCTGTACTCACTTGCAGGACTGTTGTGTATTAGTTGTCATACTATGTATCCAGTAAATCAGATGATGAATCACAGTCATACAATAGCTGTTCCATATGTAGCTTGTGGTGGGTTGGTAGAGATAAATATTGGATTCTTTGGACAGAGCTTGCCAAGGAAGGGGGCAGCCAGCATTTGAATCAAGAATGAGATAGTGGAGTGGTGGATGGCTGAGTGGGCAATGTGCTTTTCTAGGCGGGTACACACAAGGAGGAGGAATTTTGGTGGCAGAGCTAGGGTGGGTAGAGGAACTGAAGAAATTAGGAGGATTGTCTGGAGCCAGGAGTGATAAGATGGTGGAAGGAGAGGCTCAGTACATTGAAGGTGCTGAACTGGTAGAAATCAAAGAGGTGAGAGTCAGCCATCTAACAATTGAAGTTGAGTGCAGCCTATTCCTGGTTAATGGTTGCCTGGACCACTTCATAAATGGCCTCTCCACCCATAGGAGACTACTTGCCAGAAGTGTTCATCAACCTTTACAGTTTGAACTGCGAATTTAGACACAGGGACCCGGAGAAGCATGGTAGTGCCATGGCAGACCAACCAACTGGTTCCTCAGTAGATAGGACTGACCTCCATACTACAGCATCAGAGTCGGAGTTCCTGGTTGAGAAGATAGGTAATACAGAAGGTGAACAATAATAATAAAATGTGGAACAATGGGGTGGGGGTGGCAATATTCAGGTTTACAGGTTTAACTATACTTGATATTTTTAGTCATTCCGGTATGCTAGCTGGTTAGTCGGCTTTGTTAAGCAATAATTACAGATAATATACTTTAGGCTTTTCACATTAGACCTTTTCTGATCGCTTGCTGCTATTATACCAGTATAAAACAGTTGCACAGTACCATATATCATTTGCCATCATGAACAGTCACTCACATTGGACTGTCACAGCCTCCTACCATCTGTTGTGTGTTCTTGAAGCCTGACTTGAAAGTCAGATAGATGAATACTCTGTGGTACCACTCCTCTATTATATGCTCAATGTATTTGCACTCTTCTACCTTGCAGTACCTCATATACCCCAATCTTGTTTGTTTTTATTTCCTTATCCCAAATCCTGTAATGATCCTGTGATGACTCTGGTGTGAGAGAAATAAAATAAGAGTAAAAATAAAATTGATTTTAGGCAAGCTTCAATCAGAGACCACCAGTGTTAGATTAATAGGATAACTAACTAGATTATGTGTGGGCTCTGCGAGGCGTGGCATTTCTTGACTGGCAAGAGCTGGTTTGCTCTGAGAATTTTTCTAGCAAATGAATGTGATGCTCTATTAAAGGTACCACCTTGTTGAACCATTGAATACTTTAAGGACCTATTTGGATACAATCACTCTATTCTATTCCAGCATACAAATGACCATTACCTTCCATTGTGAAGATGTCAAGACCACCATTTTCTCCAGTAAAATCACCCTTATACAGAGTAGGTGACCTGGCCTCTATTCTCTCAAAACAGGTGCCCCCTGTTGTATGACCCTTTCCAAGAATAGGCTTTTATTCTAAATGCTACCATGTTGGACTTGATGTAATATATAATGATTTACCTCATAGTGGTAGGAATAGTTCCTAGGCTGTTATCTGCCTGACTGTTATACTTAGACAGCGTAATCGGTACGGCACGTGACTAAATGCATAAGGTCACGTGTTCGACTCCGGGCCCCGCCGCAGTTATCGTGATGGTATCCTATTACCACACGAAATGATAAGGCATCATGCAAGTCTTTACCCTTTCACTATCCATGGGATAAGATAAGTGACCAAGAGGTTTTCGCTGGATAACATAGAAGGAGCTCTGCTCTACAAGATAAGACTTATTTGAACCAGATTGGTGGGTTAGTTATTGAGCTATGACCGCTGGAAGTCTTGGTGTGCTATTCCGAGAAGTAGCCGTACCATCCTCTGCTCACGTATAACTGGGGTCATCCGGAGACTAGTTTACGATTGGTTAATAACAACTCATTGGTCGAGTTAGTTATCTTCGTCATGCACTCTAAGCTATGCACATAGAAGAGTCATTGATAAGTCCTTTGACAGAGCTGATCACTCCACCCAGGAAGAGAGCAGGGAAGTTAGTTTTCAGGGTCAAACGGAGTTCGCACTCCAAGAACACTGAATCGTTAGTATGGCAGGTACATAGTCAGTAAGGGATTGGATGTACGGTGCGACCACCCAGATGCGCACTATAAATATCGAGGTCCCTCCCGAGCTTTTAGTCAATTATCAGCGACCGGAGAAGAGCTCTTATCAATATATTCATTCTACCATAGTTCTATCTTTACGAGCCTTCTTGACTATCTCCGAGACAGAAGATTACAGGGCCTAGTGTACACTCGCTTGACTTTATAGTTACCTACCCCCTAACACTAACCTTGAGAGTCAAGTCCTAGACTTCTATCTTGTTACTCTTATTCTCATAATATACTTAGGTTCTCACTTAGCACTTGTTAGTTTCTTGTAGAAGGCAAAATATTTCTCATGTTTAGTAAGTAAAGTAGTAACCATAAAGATGATTCATTAAAAAATATAAGTACAGGAAACATCTTACAGAATGGATCAAGAGATGAAACTCTATGTCCTAGTAATGTTTTATATAGTTACTCTTTATCCAGTATCATGCATACACGATGTCACCTGAAACCTATGACTCACAACCGTAAGTACTGTAAGATGCTTTTACTGACTGCTATAAGTCACCATGGACCACAGCTTGAACCCATTATAACTTAATATACAAGTTAGGTAGACAACATGTGTTACCTGAGTAAAATCCATGACCTCTAATCAAGGTCATCTACCAATATCATACCCTTGTGTGACTCATAGTATAAGTCACGAGTAGGTGAACATAATAACATATGACTGGCAATTACTCATCTTGTTAAACTTCTAATATCCATTCAGGTTAGGTATGAAATTTTACATATCTATGACTTGCGATTTCGAGCCATGTGAAATCAGACTTGGTTAGTCCCTATTACTGATATATTTAAGAACTAGTACTGCATTTGGTGCAGATTTCATGGGCCTGTGTAACAGCCAATCTCTGATAGCACTATTAATCCCTGTCACCTAGGTCATACAGTGCAAACATAGTAGTAATTGGGTGATACCATTGTTAAGGTTAATGGGACCAGGTGCATGATGGGAAAATAACTTACTATGAGTAGTTACTGCAAACAATTAGATGCATTGTGAGTGATATACAAGTACAAGTGAAAGGAGAAAGAAAACATGACCAATATCTCCCCTAACAGCCCCCCACCTAATCCTATGGCCAAACCCACTCACAATCCTCCTGCCATCCTATAGCCCGACACCCCTCTAAACTCCTACCAAACACCAGGCCAAAGTCTACCCACAACCCTATGTGAAACTGCTACTAACGCCCATTCTCAGCTGCCACCCTTCCTGCTACAAAAGGAAAACCCAAAACCCCTCACACATTTATCCACTAGATGATCAAGATCAGCCTTGGATCTTAAGGAAATAGAATAGTATGAAATATGAACTTACAGGATCAGTGTAGAAAGAGAGCCTTATGGTAGCGCACTCCAGATATCTGTTGCCCACTCTTCGAGATCTGCCACAGAAAAAATTATGTCACCCTCTGAGGTATCAGGAACAGGTAAGCGGAGGAAAACTTTCTCAAACTCGAGTGTCAATGAACCAGTGGCAGCAATGGGCCATAAGATATCAACCTCTCCAGTGTGGGCAGGAGTCTTGCGAAAATCATTGGCACTGCCTTGTATATCCTGTTCATTTGGTACTGTGACCATTTCCCATTTTTCAATATGTATTACTTTGTTTGCTTGCTTGATTGCTATGATGAGAACAATATTGACATCTCCAGAGGAGCTGTTTAGCCACCAGCAAGCATCCATCTTCAACTGGTTCAATCCTTCTGAAACCCCACACTCAATCACTACAGTTGGCCAGTGGGCTATGGTAGGGCGGGACGATGAGGGTCTGAAGGCTGAATCCGCTTCATTAGAACTTGTAATGGCTTGATACCTCGTACTGCCCATATTTTTAAGCTCACGAGCGAGGTTCATCGGAATGGTCTTCTTCCGAAGCATGTATGAAAAGTCCTCTGTAGCTTGTCCATGAACTCCTCCAGGCATGCCAACTTTAACAATTAATGTGTGCTGGTCTTGGAAGTAAGTGAAGCGGAGTTGTTTGTAGTGGTTATCACGAAGTGTATCAATTGTCGCTAGCTGATCCTCGCTTACGGGGGAAAATACCATGTATTGTCCACCGCGACCTGCCTCTAATGCCATCTCCTGTGACAAAACAGTCACAGCAAATGTGGGGTTGTCAATGTATGGCTCATGCACTACTGTGCCTGACCATTCAGGGAGTGAATAGGACATGCCCCCAGGTACAATAGGTAATTGAATGTGGGAGGTCGCTTGCGGGGCAGCGGGAGTTGGATTGGCATAGATGAGCTCATCAGAAATACTAGACATTCTTTGATGGATGTTGGGGATTGATTTTGAGTAAAGTAATTCTACTTCAATGCCGTTAGTATCAGAGATGGTGGTGGGTGGTGTGATTTTCTAATAAGGTGGAGTTGTGAGTGATGTGACCTAAGTAGTTGCTTTTTCACTAGTTGATTAGAAGAGTTTAGTAGACTGGCTTGTTACTATTCTGCACTAAATCTGCAACTTAGTTTCCAAGCAAATATGATGGCAGATTGTACAGGTTTACCAAACTGAGGGAAGTGTTAACCAATAACACAAATGACGTAGAGGGAATACAAAGAAAGTTAGGTTCAATTGAGTGGAGAGCGAAACTTGAGTTCAGTGGTTGGTATGTCTGTGTTTGGTATTCTGTTGGTAAAACCAAAGAAAAGAAAGTTATAAGGTGAGATCACTGCATGCCAAGACCCCACCTATCTATGAAAGCTGCTACATGAAAATTATCTAGAGCCTCGACTCCATCCACTATATGAAAATAGCCTTCAATACAATGCTCTTACCATACTAGCTCTCGATAGCCAAGAAATGCCTTGCACAGTTGCCCCCTAACAGACTCTAATGTAATTTACAGGGATCCTAATCTTCCCCCATCTGCATCTCACCATAGTAACCACTGGAAAACTCCATGTCCAATTGATTATTGACCTAAATAATAATGCAGCCATATTAGAAATTTCCTACAAAGTACTTTCAAATATGGGGAATCACACTATGTAGCTATTATTTATTAATAGGCAAAATAATTGTTGGTATAGAGGTTTTAAGAAGAGTTGTTTTAAACAATACTATACTTTTACAGCATATATAAAAATGCAAATATAAATAGGAGGACCTTTATAACTAAATAGAATAATTTTTTGCACTTTACACAGCCAGAATGACATAGCTTTCTTATAATTTACAACCCTATTAGCATGTTATACTAACTGAAATAGAGGAGGAAAACTAGAAAGAAAATACATCATTTTTACTATATGATATCTGTTTGTGCAGGTAAAATAAAACGTAGATCCTTTATAATATTCTTTCTACAACCATTTAACTAAGTTTACTAAGTTTTAAGAATTAGACATAAGCTGTTCAGGTTCTATAGAGAATAGCAGAAAATCTATATTAAAATTCAGTATTATTAGAGTTGACATTTGAAATCTCTGAGTCCTATTACCTAAATAGACTAAAAGTCTTTCAATAACTTTAGCAATATGAGTAGACTAGAAAGTACTAGTTTGAATCTGCTCCTGAATATATAGCCTACTTAGTTGCAACTTGAAGGTATTATTTCTTTTTAAATTACATTTATAACAATATTGGCAGTAAATTTACAACACTTGACATACTGCCTTCAAGTTGAGAACCACTATATAATCTTGGATCATGTTAGTGAAGAATATTAAAAATTATTATAATATATTATCTAAACCCTATATGTGGAGATCATTGATTCCTATTTACAAGATATATTTTTAACTTCAGTTCTTTGTTTAGTCTCAATTGCTGTCAACATTATTGGAAACAAATCCTAATCCACTTGACACATCGATGTCAAGAGCTGTAAGATTCTGCCATTTACTTAAACTAGATTTTTTGTAATGATTTACAATTTTCCTAACCCACTATTGGAATAAAAATAATATTTGAGTTACTCCAGAACCAACTAAATATACAAGAAGAACTATTACTTATTATCAAATAAAAAGTCCTGATTCTGATTCTCTATATTTAAAAGTACTTTTTAACAAATTCTCAATATGGTATTGTACTTATTTGTATAGATAACCAAATATATATTTTGTTTTCTTGCAGTTGTTATTGTAAGCTGCACCTGAGTGAAGAGCCCTTGCATGGTAAATTATGCTACATGAGGAACTACTGTATGAGCTTTTGAAAGAATCAGGTGTTCAAAATATAGTATTTGGTATGATAAAGGTTTCATGAGCCCGATGGGACCGTCGGCCTCAAATAGCAGTATTGATAAATTCCCAATAGGTCTTCCAGTATAAACTCTGGACTGATAGGGAGAGGATATTGTTAAGGATAAGTCAACCTGGTTCAGGGAGCCCAAGTGCTAGTTTTATTCCATGGTAACTTTGAAAGAATTAGAAAGAATTGGATATACTATGTATAGTATATGAGTACAAGTAGAAACAGAAAAAGAATACAACTGATATTCCCTCAAACCCACCCCTAAACCACTTCAAAACCCCTTGAAAGTGGCTGCTCCAGCCATTTCCACACTCTCTCCTTCCTCTACTAAGCACTACTCCAACACTCCTGACAGACCTATCTACTTAGTAATCAAGTGCTGCCTTGGATCAAATTTTAAGTAAAGGTTATACAATATTCGCTTAGAACTAGGGTGTAAAAAGATAGTGTTATCCCACTACACATAAGATGTCAGCAGGCTAATCTACCAGATAGATATCTGTGCTTTATGCAGGTGTCAGCTTGAAATTATTGAGACTGGCTCACATCTATTATGTACTATATACTTATCACGAAGGCCAATGTGGTTATCTGATAACCTATCTAATCTGATCAGGAAATATGAGTATCAGGTAACTCCCTTTCAAGTTGCTGTAGTAAGAAAAGCTGAATCTAGAATATATTAAGATTATGCGTAATTTTTGACTGCTAAACTATTATCTCATTCAATTCCACCACCCTCCTGTAAGATGAATCTGAAATATATCAAGATTAAATATAACTTTTTGACTGCTAAACTATTATCTCATTCAATCCTACAGCCTACCTGTAAGATGAATCTAAAATATATCAAGATTGAAGGTAATTTTTGACAGCTAAAATATTATCTCCTTCAATTCCACAGCCCACCTGTAAGATGAATCTAAAATATATTAAGATTGAAGGTAATTTTTAACCGCTAAAATATTATCTCATTCAATTCCACTGCCCTTCTGTAAGATGAATCCAAAATATATCAAGATTAAAGGTAATTTTTATCTACTAAACTATTATCTAATTCAATCCAACAGCCCACTAGTTGTATATAAAGGTACAGAACTACTCCAGATTCCTATCCTCACTTTTTCTCTACCATCTTCCTTCTCTATCTTTCACTCAACCACTAATAGTTAATATAATAATTATAAACACTGGGGTGGACTCCACATCAAAAACATTTTCCACTCATGTCCTGTACGTCCTGTGTGTCCGACGCACAGGACGCAGAGGATGCAAACCGTTAATGAGGATACGCCGACGCTGCCCCTGGTGTCCTGATGCCTGCTGCTGCATCGCACTGTATCTGGACGTTATCTGGACTCGGATGCTGACCCCTGCCTGCCATGCATCCTGAAAACTGTCACCATCTTTGCCCCTGCATTCGGACGCCCCCCTGTAGGTCCTAGTGGCATCCTGAGTCGTACCAATTCTTCCGCCTAGTATCCCGACGGAGCTCAACTGCTCTTTGTTACCTAGGGAGATCCCTCCCAATCAGATCCTATCATGATTTCGTCAGGACCTCGCGATCTATATCTCCTGCCACCCGGCACCCCACAATCCAGAGCATCTGGATCCAGATGATATGACTTACCCCTAGACGTTGTGACTGGTTTTGATCTCATCTAGATTATCTCGTGCCTGGCGCTTGCGTCTGGACTTCTAGACTTACCTGGTGAGGTATCTAGATTTTGCACAGGTGAACCTGGCCTGGGTAGGACACCTTCACCGTGAGCCTACCCTGATCATTTTGGAGTCTGGAACTCTACATCAGGTTTGAGGTGCCTTCAGAATCCTGGGAGCACACTTCTTGTAGAATCTGGATGCCGTCCACTACAGCACCTCCAATATGGAGATCTGCTCACATGTGCCTCATGTTTATTGACTTGAACTCTACAGGGCTATTCCGGCTACGCTATTACATCTGGTGATATTTATTAGCACCAATTTTCTCTCCCTCCGCTCGCAGCTTCCTGCCATAGTCGCTAAACCCTTTCATTATGAACATGCTCTTTCTGCATCTGTCACTCCCTATCCAGGTAATGCCATGAGTCCCCCTACTGGTACCCACATCCAGCAGCCTGTCACCATCTCCTAACGGATCACCAGCATCAAAATCGCCCACTTCTACCGTCCTCACATCCTGTGAATCCTCCAGACTGAGCAAGGGCCAAGAGCCAAGATGTCTGAAATCAGTATTTTGTCTGTCTGTCGTTGAACGCTCTGTGACTTTGTGGGGATCCTCTTGACTTGTCAAGCCACAATTGACAAACTCCAGTCTGTCAACATAGGGCATTTGGCTGCTATCTGCAGTGTCATTCTTGCCCTACGACGAACCCCCACTGCGCTGGAGGCCAAACCCAGGGATTACGGGCAAGTTAGTTAGTTCCTGGCTACAGTGATAGGGCTGATGCTGGGCGGAGTTCGATTTCCAGCGGTCTAGTTCTGCACTCACGGTGTCCCAGTCAGCATCATAGCCTTCTAGCCAATCCTGTTGGATACCATTGTCTTGCTCCATCTTTTTGTCGTTGCTTTGACAAACACTTTGTAAAATCATCTCCTGGACTCTGGTGGGACATTTACGCCAAGTTTGTCTCTGCCGTTCAAACAGGTCTTAAGTGTTTTGTGAAAGGTTAGCCAGCTTCATGGCCGATGTACAACCGGAGTTCTACATCCTCACCTGCAACAAGCTCAGGCTTGAAGTCCCTTTGCTTGACGTAAATCCCTGTTTGCCACACCCTGAGGGGATGGCAGAGTATAGCCCAAGTCCAGCAAATTATGGTGCCGGGGATCATGTCAATGAAATTGGGGTC